AAGCCAAAGTATGGGTGGTTTGGTATCTTGCTGTTTGGGGTCCTCCTCCACTCAATGGATAGGCTCTCCTGCTTGGTGGTTATAGTTTTAGCCAGCTAAAAAGCAGTTGTTGGGTAAACTCCCAGTTTAGCAACTGCATCCATTGTTTGTTTGTTTTTTTTCCCTAAAGGTTGCAAATTAGACCTCTATGGCAGTGGGGGTGAATTAGATTGCAAATAGTACATTGTTTTATGATCAAACACAATGTTTAAAGGACTGGGCTAATGAACTTTTGAGAAGTTTGTATTATGCATAATAATTTGGTACAGGGTGTATGTATTGAAGACATTGAAACACATACAGTCCATTCTTGGATAGGCCAGTGATAAGACCACTTTATACACCAAAAGGACTCCTTACTATGTTAAGGTATGCAGGAGGCAATTACCTTACCTTTGTTGTGTTGGGTTAACCTGTTTTTGGGTAAATATATGGAGAGTTAGGGGAAGTTTAAGAGCGGATTAATTGCAAATAGATTGGGAAAAGTCTTAAATATTCATGATGTGCTTGTTTATGGTGAAGAGAGCAGATTTGCCATAAACAAGACAAAGGATCTATTTCACTTTTTAATTAAAAGCTATGCATACAGCTATTCTAGGTCTAGACACCTAAGATCAAACATGCTAATAAAAGTATCAAATAAAAAAAATCAGAGTGCTTGCCATTGTACCGAATGGGGAAAATGTGTATATTAACACACAACACAGGATAGAATACATGGGACAGAGCATAGGTCAGGATACGGGTGACAAAACACAGGTGACAGGACAGGTATAGATCATAACTCACATTATTGCATGCATGGGAGCTACCTAGGTGCATATTATATATCGGACATATGCTGGATGGTATTGGGGGAGGGGAGAGTGGTCTCTGTTCATCTCTGACTGCTAAGGATGATCTGCGGGGTAACAAATCGCTTCCCGGCCTTTTGGCTAAGATCAAGTGTAGTATCTGTTCTTATCAGTGCCCAGTAGGGGTGCTCCACCATCATTCCTGCTTGCGGGGGATTATTGGTTGTATAGTACTCCTGCTGGTAGGATGGGGGTCCTGATGGTTAATACAGGCTGGAAAAATAATCGAGGTGCCCACAGGCAGTTGGGGTGCGGGAGTAATTCCCCCCAGGAACGCCAGAGGGGCCCATTTTCTTCTGGTTTGAATGGACCTACCTTGTCTGGCCAGGGGCCGGGGAGGCAGAGAGTCCGCGGAACAGTGCCCCCCTGAGTGACCGCCTCAGGGGTGCTCTTAGTAGCACATGGGGGTGGGATCCCAAGTGTGAAACCTGCACATGGTCACTGATCCAAACACTTTTCCTGCACTGCGCCTTTTAGGGCTAGGCCTGTTGGCTAAGTCCAGGGCAATTTTTATGCTACGGGCCTCAGGGCCTAGCCAGTGCACAATTGCATGGCCACTTTTTTATTTTTACTTATTTAATTTATTTTTTCTCCCACATTTGTTTCACTTTTCACTTATGTGTGTGTTTTTTTTCTCACGGACAGTAGGGTGTGGGTCCTCGGGCCTACCTGAAGTCTAGGGGGGGAGGATGTTTGGCCTTTTGGTTCCTTCCTTCTCTGTCCCTGGGGGGTCTCTCTTCGGGAGAGCCCCCTGACCAAGTACTTGGTGGCTGGCTTCGGCTGGCCACAAGGAACGGGGGTCCGCCAGGCCTTTTGGCTAGGTGGACCACATGGGAACCTTGTCCCTGTCAGGAGCTTCGTGCCCCGGGGGATCAGGGTAGAGCTCCTACCCCTTCGGGGGGTGGACAAAGCACATCCCTAAGTGCACTTTTTTGTGTTGGTTTTGCACTAGCACGTTTTTTGTTCACTTACGGGTTTTTTGTTTTTTCGCACTTCCGCGGACTTCAAAAAAAAAAAAAAATCTTTATCCGAATAAATGCATCTTTCTGGAAAAGGACTATTGGTTGCTGCGGGAAAAGTACATATATAAATACACCCTGGTCATCCGGAGAAGGGCTAGATCTGCATGCCTTGATATGAACTATCTTGAAAAGATCTAAATGCATCTCTGGCAAAAGAACTGTCATAATATTAGTAAGACAACATCTATGTCCCTGCTGGAGGTGGACAGCTTGTATGACTGCTGTGAGTACTGGCCAATTGAAATTTTATGTTTTATTTATGCATTTTTGGGATGCTTATGTTACCCATTGGTGGTGTCTTATATATTTCCCATTTAGGATCTTTTCCTACTATATTTGACCTTGAGTCCTTTTTTGTCCGCCTTGCTCTCTGGCCTCCCTCTGCCCGCTCCCCAGACGACTTTGCTGCTGATCTGCAATGTCTCCATGTAAGCCTAGCTAACATTTTTTGCCTATTTATGTATTTCTATGTATTTGTATACCTAATTTGTATATTTTTACATGCAGTAGCTGTCAGGACAGGAACGCTGGAATGGGCATGCAGGCATATTAACAATGTAACGCACTGGCTGACGACAACCACCACCCACAGACCGAAGTCCCTCGGGGCGCGGAGTCTAAGTCCCAGGCTGCCCTTCACCAGGGCCCCTGATGGTGGGGATGGACTTGACGCAGACAGGAACCAGGTCGCGGACCTCAAGACACCCCATTTGCGGTAATGGCCGCCGCCAATGGCGTGTAGCTGGTGGAAAGGACAATAGAGTAGTCGGCAGGCCGGGTCGACAACGGGACAAAACGGTACAGGACAGCAGACGAGAATCACAGGTCACGGGCCGGGTTCAGCAACGGAGGGTCAGATCAAAGGAGAACACACAGAATGGTCGAGTCACAAGCCGAGTCAGATTCCAGGAGAGTTACGAGAGTCAGAACAGAGCTGTAGCAACACAAAGACACAAGTGCAAAGGGCATGTGCGGACCACAGGCTTATATGTAATCAGCCACACCCCTCTGGGGGATGGACCTCAGAGACCTGAAGGCATAAAAGGTTCCCACCATGCTCTGCAGAAATCCAAGATGGATGCCAGCACATGGAGTAACATAACCTCTGGGAAAAGGTAGGACCTTGACAGTAGCACTGTGCTTCCTTACATTCAAGTTACGGTCTTGAAGAAGCCAAATGCACAGGTGAAACGCGTTGACCGTTCTTTTTTCATATTGCAATTACTGTATCTATGTGCTAAATGATTAACATGTATGCAAGGGAGGCACTTTGTAATTATTTATGTCCTTTTTCTGACCCCTTTTAGGGGTTATGTTTGTAATATGAGCCCTATAGAGAGTATAGGACTCTTTTATGTCAGTAAATGCTTGTATGTATTTTATTGTGTGGTCTCTTACTGTGCCCAAAGAATCCAATATTTTTGTCGTACTTATTGTCTGGCTTCTTTTTTCTGAAAGATTTATAGTACTTCTATATAGATGGCTATCGCTGTAGTTCTGGGAGCCAGAATCCTTCTGATCCTTGTATCTTCAAAAGTAGAGTCGCTGCCGCTGCTATACCTGCCCCTCCTCTTTCCCAATCACAGAAGCCTTGGCATTATGTGAACATATTCACAAAATACAAAGGCTTCTGTGAATGAGCAGCAGAGGGGAGGGGCAGGCATAGCTACTCTGTGTGCTACTCATCTCTCAGATTCTGATCCCCCTTCCCAGAGCCTGTTCAGTGTTTTCATTAGAGATTAAAAGTGTCAGGGCTCCCGGGTATGACCAGAGGTGTGTGACTGACGCAGGGAAACGCAGACTTCAGATATGTTATAAACAATGTAATTTATTAACACTAACCATACAAACATAAACGCAGTGCAATACTAAAACATAACACAGTGCAAACAAACCAACCAACCACCCACAGATAACAGTACATACAATGCAAGCATCGTCAGGCAGGCCGGTCAATATCAGTTGGGCAGGTAGGTACAGGGGGAGCAAGCGGAGAATGGTCGGGGTCACAGGCCAGGTTCAGCAGGTAGCGGGCAGCGTGGTACAGAGGGTCAGGCAGAGGAGAATGGTCAGACAAGCCAGGGATCAGAGCAGGGTCAGCAGAGAATCAGACAGGAACAGGAAACAGGGCCCAAGAGAAACACAACACCAAGGGCAGAGTCTGCAGGTCTGAATGTCCCTTAAATACACCAGTATAATTAGTTCCAGGTGGTTTGACTGGCTGCAAGGTTGAGTCTCTGATTGCTGGGAGCACCCGCTGGCCAGCCCCTGGTACTTGCAGCTCATAAGGCAGCTGAGTCCCACTATTGCTGGCCAGTTCCATTCCTGACAGTACCCCCCCCTCAAGGAGTGGCCTCAGGACGCTCCAAACAGTCCTAGCTGGGCAAAATGTTCCACCGCCCGGGTCTGGTAACTGGCGGGATATCAAAGACTGGCACACCGGGCAGGACTCCGGGCAGCGGCACACCGGGCAGAGGCACATCGGGCTGGACTCCGGGTAGAGGCACATCGAGCTGGACTCCGGGCGGAGGCACATCGGGCAGACTCATCCGGCGGGCAGAGGCACATCGGGCAGGACTCCGGGCAGAGGCACATCGGGCTGGACTCCGGGGCAGAGGCACATCGGGCAGAGGCACACCACCCGGGCAGAGGCACATCGGGCTGGACTCCGGGCAGAGGCACATCGGGCTGGACTCCGGGAAGAGGCACATCGGGCAGAGGCACATCGGGCAGGGCTCCGGGCAGAGGCACATCGGGCCGGACTCCGGGCAGAGGCGCATCGGGCCGGACTCTGGGCAGAGGCACATCGGATTACCAGGCGAAGCAGCAGGCACCGGGCCCCCAGGCGGGGCAGCAGGCACCGGGCCCCCAGGCGGGGCAGCAGGGAGCGGGCCCCCGGGCGGGGCAGCAGGGCGGGGGCCCCCGGGCGGAGCAGCAGGCACCGGGCCCCCGGGAGGCCGAGAGCAGGCACCGGGCCCCCGGGCGGGCAGCAGGCACCGGGCCCCCGGGGCGGCAACAGGCCCCCAGGCTTCCGGGCCCCCCCCCGGGCCCCGACAGGCATCGGGCCCCCCAGGCGGAGCGGCGGGCGCCGGGCCCCCAGGTGGGGCGACAGGCATCGGCCCCCAGGCGGGGCGACAGGCCCCGGGCCCCCAGGCGGGGCGACAGGCATCGGGCCCCCAGGCGGAAGCGGCGGGCGCCGGACCCCCCAGGCGGAGCGACAGATCTCGGGCCCTCAGGCGGAGCGGCGAGCGCCCGGACCCCCAGGCGGAGCGACAGGTCCTCGGGCCCTCACATGGCGGAGCGGCGGGCGCCGGACCCCCAGGCGGAGCGACAGGTCTCGGGCCCTCAGGCGGAGCGGCGGGCGCCGGACCCCCAGGCGGAGCGACAGGTCTCGGGCCCTCAGGCGGAGCGGCGGGCGCCGGACCCCCAGGCGGAGCGACAGGTCTCGGGCCCTCAGGTGGAGCGACAGGTCTCGGGCCCCCAGGCGGCTCGGGGGACCCCCAGGCGGGGCGGCAGGTCGCCGGGCCCCCAGGCGGAGCGGCGGGGCGGACCCCCAGGCGGAGCGGCGGGCGCCGAACCCCCGGCGAGCGACAGGTCTCGGGCCCCCAGGCGAAGCGGCGGGCACCGAGTTCACCAGGCACGACAGTGGGCTCCGAGTCAACTGGCATGACCGCTGGCACTGGGTCAGACATTGGATCGTCTGGCTGGACAGCGGGCATCGGGTCACCAGGCATCAGGTCATTTGGCTCGACAGCGGGCACCGCGTCATCTGGCAAGGCAGTGGGCTCCGAGTCAACTGGTATGACCGCGGGCACTGGGTCAGACATTGGATCGTCTGACTGGACAGCGGGCATCGGGTCACCAGGCATCAAGTCATTTGGCTCGACAGCGAGCACCGCGTCATCTTGCAAGGCAGTGGGCTGGTCAACTGGCATGACCGCGGGCACATGGGGCAGACATTGAATCGTCTGGCTGGACAGCAAGGCATCGGGTCACCAGGCATCAGGTCATTTGGCTCGACAGCGGGCACACGCGTCATCTGGCAAGGCAGTGGGCAGTCAACAGGCAGTAGGGCACCGGGTCTCAGGTACCCAGGATTAACTGGCTCGGACAGGCGGGCATTCCGGGTCACCAGGTCATTATGACAGCGGGCACTGGGTCACCTGGCTCCCGGTTTGGCTTGCAAGCGTAGGCACCGCAGTCATCGGGCACAGGGTCATCAGGTACATTGGATTGTCTGGCTCGACAGCGGGCATCGGGTCACCAGGTATGACAGCGGGCACTCTTTGGTCACCAGGCATCAGGTCATTTGGCTTGCCAGCGGGCACCGCGTCATCTGGCAAGGCAGTGGGCACCGGGTCCCCAGGCATTGGATAGTCTGGCTCGACAGCGGGCATCGGGTCACCAGGTATGACAGCGGGCACTGGGTCACCAGGCATCAGGTCATTTGGCTTGCCAGCGGGCATCACGTCGTGGCAAGGCAGTGGGCACCGGGTCACCAGGCATTGGATCGTCTGGCTCGACAGCAAGGCATCGGGTCACCAGGTATGACAGCGGGGCACTGGGTCACCAGGCATCAGGTCATTTAGCTTCGCCAGCGGGCACCGCGTCACCAGGCACGACAGCGGGCTCCTGAGTCAACTGGCATGACAAGCGGGCTCTGAGTCATCACTGGCATGACAGTGGCATAGGTACTGGATTGTCTGGCTCGACAGCGGGCATCGGGTCACCAGGCATAATAGGATCGTCAGGCTGGATCAGTTCATCATGCTGGGTAGAGGCATCAGGCTGAATGCAGGCATCTGGCTGAGTAAAGGCATCAGGCTGAGTAGAGGCATCAGGCTGAGTAGAGGCATCAGGCTGAGTAGAGGCATCAGGCTGAGTAGAGGCTTCAGGCTGAGTAGAGGCTTCAGGCTGAAGAGAGGCATCAGGCTGAGTAGAGGCTTCAGGCTGAACCACGGAAGGCAGGTTCACCGTTTGGATACTGGCAGGATGGTATTTGGTTGGAAAGAATTTTCGCTTTTTTCTGGTTTAACTACTGGAGCACTGCAAGTGAAACGCAGGTCTGCAAACGAATGGAGCAGCTGGAGACAGAGAAGAGCTGGAGGATGGAACAGAGGAGGGAGCAGTTGCTACAGAGGGCTTTTTTACAGGGTTAAAGGCAGGATAGGTGCAGCGAGTGGGAACAGGGTACTGACATGCGGTAGATAGCCAAGTATACTGGGCTGAACTTGGAGGCTGGGAGGAGCTGTTGGGAATGCAGGAATAGAGTTTTGAGGGAAATAGATTAGAAGCAGGACTGGGTTTTGTAAGCTGACTGAGGCTGGGTGTAACAAATCTGTCCATGTCTGCAGTATGGGTGAACAAAGCTGAGCTTACACAAAGCCTGTCTGACCAAAGACTGCACTGCGTTTATACAATCTCTTAGTGTCTGTGGGTGAACATGTGGAATAACGCTCCAGAAAGTAACCCACATCATCCTCTAATAACCACACCAGGGACTCTACCTGGTCTGCACTAAATGGTGGCAAAAATTCATCCCTGCATTCGGGGGTACCAGATGAAACCAACTCAGCACAAACCTCAATCAATGGCTGCACCTCAGAGAACTCTGTGCCCTGATCTAGAACATGAACGATCCGTATACATTCTAGCAGTTCATCCCGGGGATACTCCTTCAGAGTCTGATAAGCATACTCCCTGTCATCAAATACTAGCAGATATAAATACGCAACCTCATCCAGATCCATCCTTCCCATCAACAAACCAAGATGGCTTCCCTGTGCAGCCACTTCTGGTCAGGATTGGCCTTGGTGTAATGTCAGGGCTCCCGGGTATGACCAGAGGTGTGTGACTGACGCAGGGAAACGCAGACTTCAGATATGTTATAAACAATGTAATTTATTAACACTAACCATACAAACATAAACGCAGTGCAATACTAAAACATAACACAGTGCAAACAAACCAAACCACCCACAGATAACAGTACATACAATGCAAGCGTCGTCAGGCAGGCCGGGTCAATATCAGTCGGGCAGGTAGGTACAGGGGGAGCAAGCGGAGAATGGTCGGGGTCACAGGCCAGGTTCAGCAGGTAGCGGGCAGCGTGGTACAGAGGGTCAGGCAGAGGAGAATGGTCAGACAAGCCAGGGATCAGAGCAGGGTCAGCAGAGAATCAGACAGGAACAGGAAACGGGGCCCAAGAGAAACACAACACCAAGGCAGAGTCTGCAGGTCTGAATGTCCCTTAAATACACCAGTATAATTAGTTCCAGGTGTTTGACTTGCTGCAAGGTTGAGTCTCTGATTGCTGGGAGCACCCGCTGGCCAGACCCTGGTACTGCAGCTCATAAGGCAGCTGAGTCCCACTATTGCTGGCCAGTCCATTCCTGACAAAAAGGCTGGAGAGCTGCCACATCACTGCTGGGAGAAGGGAACTAAATTGAGGCTAATTTTGAAAATGAATTCGTCCACAGAGCGTGCAGCTAAGGAGGTCAGTGAGGGCTTGGCAAGAATATATAAAATTGAATTCCATAGCCTGTCCACAAGTTCATTATGACTCCGTACCTGAAAGTTAAGTGATGGAAGGGGGCAGTGAATATTTATTAACCACTTGCAGAATCAAAAAGTGTGAAATATGTCCTAAAATACTTCTTTACGTCTTTAGGATGCATCTCTTACATTCAGCTCTTTTCCCTGTGCCTCTGTTACCAGCAATTAATGGCTGCCAAAAAGACAACTGGTAATTTCCTTGTATTACATAGCAGGAGAGGCTGTCAGAAAGCAGGCTGTGTTAAATTACACTTACAGATAGTCTGCAAGTGTAAGAGCTTGTTCACTCCAGCTGCTGTATTCATCTACCAGTGTGGAGGATCGATTAGTAGACCTTTTTTTTTATAGCTGGCCACACATTATACAATTTTCTTGTTCATTTTCCTTTTGAGTTACCTTCACCTATGTAGTGCAAGGGCCTGTCTGATTGCATCGTTGGTTCGAATCCCAACCACAGCACCACCTGCCTGGAGTTTGCATGTTCTCCCTGTGCCTGCGTGGGTTTCCTCCGGGTTCTCTGGTTTCCTCCCACCCTCCAAAGACATGCTGGTAGGTTAATTGGATCCTGTCTAAATTGTCCCTAGTATGTGTATGTATGAATGTGAGTTAGGGACCTTAGATTGTACGCCCCTTGAGGGTTAGGGACCTTAGATTGTACGCCCCTTGAGGGTTAGGGACCTTAGATTGTACCCCCCTTGAGGGTTAGGGATTAGGGACCTTAGATTGTACACCCCTCGAGGGTTAGGGACCTTAGATTGTACGCCCCTCGAGGGTTAGGGACATTAGATTGTACGCCCCTCGAGGGTTAGGGACCTTAGATTGTATGCCCTAGAGAATAAAATTGTGGTAGTTCCAAATTTTCATGTCACACGATATTACTGCAAAGGTCTAGAAAATGCAAAATTTAATTAGACACATTAAATTAAACACAATAAATTATCCAAATTTTTGGTAAAAATTAAAAGCCGAGGTTTTGCCGCATCATCAAACCTTAAATTTGTGTGCGCCCGTGAAATGGCTACGTACTTCAGTACCCTATATTTTCTATTGGCGACACTTCAAAAGCTTCCTGTAGGTCATCAGTTTAGTGTTACGAAGGTGGTCTTGTGCTAGAATTATTGCTGTCTGGCGTGTGCGGCGATATGTAACGTGTATCGCAATCGACGTTTTCATGCATAGACACGTGTGTGTACATGCATATATATGTGGGAGGGGCCTCAACATTTTTGGGGGGAGGGATTTTATGTGCTTGGGCTTGCCTTAATTTTTTTTGCAGAAATTTTTTTTTTATTGCTTAACTTTTTTCTTTTGGTGACAGGTTCTCTTTAATGCTTACAATGTTTTTAATGTCTAAAAGACCCTGCATGTCTGCTCTGGGCTCCACTCAATGTTTTACACTGCAGATCGCATAGCAATACGTTGCTTCTTGGCTGTGCTAGCTGGGAAAAGTGATAGGTGACCCGGATGTGACGTCATACATGTGGCTTTCCGGGTCATAGGAAGAAGGGGAGGAGAGCGGATGTGTGTCAGCTCTCCTCCCTCCCCTTCATCTGCCGGTACCCACCATGTCAGCCCCAAACCCGCAGCTGGACAAGTGGAGCCCGGGACACATGCCGGGGGGGGGGGCGCGCGCGGGTGCCGTGCCAGTACCGAGGTGTATGGAAGCAATCTGGCAGCAGCTTCTAACTGCTTCCACCTGACAGGCAAGAGTCTGTCTGCAAGTGCACAGTATATTTGCCTTTAGTAAATCATCCCCGAAGTCTTTTCTCTCCGCTGTCTCATTCCTCTTATCACTTACAAGTTCTCCTGACACCAGAAGCTTCAGAGGTGACAAGGAAGGGACCTTCAGCTGATTTAAAGCCTCAGCTCTATTCCTGTGTAAAGGGGAGGGGTGTCCCTTCTCTCCAATCAGCTCTTTTGTACAGCAGCAGTTCCCCATCCCCCTGCTTTGTGAGTCGGTGAAAATCCTTTTCGTCTCTGAGTTTCACAAGGATGTAGAGGACAAATGACTGCAGATACACAGTACAACCTATGTGGGATAATTTGTTTTATCTCTGTGTATCACCTGAAGCCAGTCACTTCACTGGGTATAGTTAAGGGGTGTCAAACCAGCGATCCTCCAGCTGTTGCAAAACTACAAGTCCCATCATGCCTCTGCCTTTGGGAGTCATGCTTTAACTGTCAATCTTGCAATGCCTTGTGGGACTTGTAGTTTGGCAACAGCTGGAAGGCCTCCAGTTTGACACCACCGTGAAAAAGGTTTTTTAAACCACTTTAACCCCTTCCTCCCCTCATCTATTTTTTTTTTAACCAATAAAAATTTAATTTTCTTTTATATTTCAATAGTTTTCTTTGCTGTCTTTTTTTTTCTTTGTGGCATAACGAAAATGCACAAAATTGCAAATATCTTTGCAAAATGGGACAAATGATAAAATAATGCTGCATGCACACGGACGTATTAAATTAATAGAAATTGCTCCGGCCCATAAGAGGTACACAGGTACAAGAGCTGAAGTGGTTAGAAAAAGGTTGCAACAAATGTGGATTTATTGATAAATTTTAGTGGTAATCCAGACAGCAGCAAATTTGCCAGAAATCCATTACTAGTTAAGTAGTACATATATTACTTTTTTTTCTGGCTTCTGTCCCATTCACATGGGTTTACTACAGCGTACACCCAGGGCCGTGGAAAAAGGGGTACAACCAGTCCTCCTGTATGGGGCCCAGGTCAGCAGGGGGGCCCAGGCAGCTGGGTGAATCAGATTTTTACGCAGGAAGGGTGATTGGCACAGCTGGGGGGGGGGCAATTACTGAACCAATCCCTTGTATACCTCTCTGCAGCAGTTGAAAGCTGGCCTCTTCTCACCCTCCTGCTGGCTTTCAGCTGCTGCAGAGAAAGCCATACAGGGGATTGGTTCCAGTAATCCCCGCCGCACCCATCACCCTCCCTGTGCACCATACGTTTTCACTCTGCGGCCCGGGCCCCCCATGTGTGCCCCCCACCCCTGCAGTGCTGCTGGATTCCCTCCTCTAACCACCATCAACTGCAGTAATGCAATAGGATCCTTCAGGATGGAGACTGAGGGAAGGGTGCGGTAAATATGTCACATTTTACCCGCCCTTTCCTTTTCTGAATGAACACAATGATCGGTTACCGATCACTCGTGTTCATTCATAACTGAAGCATAGTAAGCTTGGAGATTTGAGGGAAGGGTCTGGTAAATATGTCACATTTACCCCCCCTTCCTTTTTCTGAATATGAACGCAATGATCTGTACCGATCACTCATCATTGCGTTCATTCATAACTGAAGCATAGTCAACTTGGAGAGTTGAGGGAAGGTTTTGGTAAATATGTCACATTTACCAGCCCTTCCTTTTCTGAATGAAGGCAATGATCGGTACCGATCACTCATTGTGTTCATTCATAACTGAAGCATAGTAAACTTTGTGTTTTATGTTTTTTGAGGGGCCCTGTCACGTTGGCTGTATGGGGCCCTGTGGTTTCTAAAACAACCGATCACTCATTTTGTTTATTCATAACTGCAGCATAGTAAACTTGGAGAATTGAGCCCCTTCCTTCTCTGAATGAACGCAATGCTCGGTACAGATCACTCATTGTGTTCATTCATAACTGAAGCAGCATAGTAAACTCTCTTTTTTTATTTCTTGAGGGGGGCCCTGTCACGTTGGCTGTATGTGGCCCCGTGGTTTCTAACAGCAGCCCTGCCTTACACCTGTGCAAGGGCCGTGTCAACCTACATATAGGTGAACAGGTGTTCTGCGCATCACCATGCGGGTAGTCCCATTCATGTCTATTGGGATGCTGCAGCTGCGTGGACACAGCCGCTGCTCCCAATTTGACATCCATGTGAGTGAAGGGCCCTGATTGCACACTGTCTGCACATGGATGTCAAATTGGGAGTAGCGGCTGTTTCCGTGCAAACGATGCGTGCTAATTGACATCAATGGGATTGCCTTCTTGGGGATACACAGGACACTTGTGCTTCCCCGTGCTGGTAAAGATGGGCCCTTACATGGATGTATGCTGTGTGAATGAGGCCTTTAAATGATGAGAAGTAGACAGGAGACAATAAAGACAAGGGACGCCAGGTGTGGTCGAACCATCGTATTTTATATGGTTTAAAAATAAGATATGCAAGGGGCGTTCTCCTCTGGGAGATTCTGCTGTCGTGCGATCCAGATGGCGTTATCGTATGGATGTCATGACCCCAGGGCGGCGGACCATGAAGTGACAGGTAAGATGGGAAGGATGGGAGCAGGGACTGTGTGATGGAAGTGACAGATGACATGTACGTAAAACAGTTTCCTTTGCTGTTTCCAGGAGACAACATGGAAGATTGCGGCAGTGGCAGCGTTTATCCAAGACATTTCCTCTCGCTGCTCCTTGTTCTTGCGGAGCCTTCAGCAGCATAGCAGCTCCTAAAAAGACACAATAATGGTCTGTGAGGGTTAATGAGATAGTTACAAACTGAGGGCAAAGGGTATTAAACCTTAAAGTGTTACTAAACCCTGGACCCCGCATTCACTATAATCCGCTCTCCCTCCCCCGGACCCCGCATATTCCGCTCTCGCCCGGACCCGCATCTCACTATATTCCGCTCTCCCGGACCCCGCATTCACTATATCTGGTCTTCCCGGACCCCGCAGTAACTATATCTGGTCTCGCCGGACCCCGCATTCACTATATCTGGTCTCCCCCCGGACCCCCGCATTCACTATATCTGGTCTCCCCGGACCCCGCATATCACTATATCCGTTCTCCCCCCGAACCCTGCATTCACTATATCCGCTCTCCCCGGACCCTGCATTCACTATTATCCGCTCTCCCCGGACCCTGCATTCACTATATCCGCTCTCCCCGACCCTGCATTCACTATATCCGCTCTCCCCGGACCCTGCATTCACTATATCTGCTCTCTCCCCGGACCCTGCATTCACTATATCCGGTCTCCCCGAACCCCGCATTCACTATATCTGGTCTCCCCGGACCCTGCATTCACTATATCCGCTCTCCTCGGACCCCGCATTCACTATATCTCCGCTCTCCCCGGACCCCGCATTCACTATATCTGGTCTCCCCGGACCTTGCATTCACTATAACCGGTCTCCCCGGACCCTGTTCACTATATCCGCCTCGTCCCCGGACCCCGCATTCACTATGTCCGGTCTCCCCAGACCCCCGCATTCACTATGTCCGCTCTCTCGCTGGACCCCGCATTCACTATATCCGGTATCCCCGGACCCCGCATTCACTATATCCGCTCTCAGCCCCGGACCCTGCATTCACTATGTTTGGTCACCCTGCATTCACTATGTCTGGTCTCCCTGCATTCACTATATCTGGTCTCCCTGGACCCCCGCATTCACTATATCCGGTCTCCCACAGTACACAGAACATGGAAATGTAATTATTTTAGTAAATATAAACTGCTAAATACCTTTTCCCATCAGCAGTTAGAGCAGTCTCGTGACTTCTATCAGTGTCCCACAGAGCACTGGTTAAAGCTTGTAGAAGGAGTTTTCTTTCTGCTCTAGCAGGATTCAGAACCCCTGACCCTCTGTCTGGACAGTACTGATTGGCCCTGTGCTGATCACTTGCACCCTCCCAAAAAACAAAAAAACCTCTCTGGCAGTACACACCAAATTGAGCATGTGCAGAATGTCTCCGCACAATATGACTTATCAGGAGATAAGAGGGGGGCACTGGAAGAAGGGGAGGATCAGAGAAGTCAGGATCAAACAGCATTTTTACACAATGCAGAGGATTAACCTCCTAGGTTCCACAGTGAGTATAACAAGCATGCTTTACTGCATCTACAGACTGTTTGTACTGTTGTGGGTTTAGTAACACTTAATGTGGAACTCCAGGCCAAGAGCACAATGTAAAGAACGTGGTTAAGCAGTTACAGCTAGGTCTTCCCTGCTCCCCGCCTGTGATTGCACAGTGACGGAGCAATAGCAAAATTATGAGTTATCACTTTGCTCTCTCTCCCTGTCAGCATGGTTTTTTGTCAGCATATCTGCAGAATATGAGTCTGATTGGCCCCTAGTGCTTCCTTCACTCTCCCAGCCTACTGTACAGAGGGTGATGTCACGTCAGATTCACTGAACATACTTACACTAGTTGCAAAAAAACAATTACAGTTCAAGGAGAAAATAGGGTGAATCTCCCTAATAGGGGCACAAAACAGCAATAAAAACCTGACAGATTCTATACCATCTTCTTTTTATCTAAAACTAAAAAAAAAAATGTTTTGCCTTTAGTTACAACACCTTGAAAAAGTATTCATACCCCTCAAAATTTTCCCCACATTGTATCATGTGACAACCAAAAACGTAAATGTATTTTATTTAATAGAACCAACACAAAGTGGCACATAATTGTGAAGTGGAAGGAAAAGGATAAATGGCTCTCAACATATTTTTTACAAATATTTGAAAAGTGTGGCGTTCATTTTGTATGCAGCCCCCTTTACTCTGATACCCCCTAACTAAAATCTAGTGGAACCAATTACCTTCAGAAGTCACTAGTTAATAAATAGAGTCCACTTGTGTGTAGTTTAATCTCTGTATAAATGCTGTTCTGTGAAGCCCTCAGAGGTTTGTTAGAGAACATTAGTGAACAAACAACATCATGAAGGCCAAGGAACACAACCAGACAGGTCAGGGATAAAGTTGTGGAGAAGTTTAAAGCAGGGTTAGGTTATAAAAAAAAAATATCCCACGCCTTGAACATCTCTCACGGAGCACTGTTCAATCCATCGTCCGAAAATGGAAAGAGTACGGCACAACTGCAAACCTACCGAAACATGGCCGTCTACTAAACTGACAGGTCGGGCAAGGAAAGCATTCATCAGAGAAGCAGCCAAGAGGTCCATGGGAACTGTGGAGGAGCTGCAGAGATCCACAGCTCAGGTGGGAGAATCTGTCCTCAGGACAACTATTAGTCGTGAACTCAACAAATCTGGCCTTTATGGAAGAGTGGCAAGAAGAAAGCCATTGTTGGAAGAAAGGCATAAGAAGTCCCGTTTGCAGTTTGCAAGAAGCCATGTGGGGGACACAGCAAACGTGGAAGAAGGGGCTCCTGGTCAGATGAGACCAAAAATTTAACTTTTTGGCCTAAAAAGCAAAACGCTATGTGTGGTGGAAAACTAACACAGCACATCCCCCTGAACACACCAATCCCCACTGTGAAGCATGGTGGTGACAGCATTATGTTGTGGGAATGCTTTTTCTTCAACAGGGACAGGGAAGCTCAGGGTTGGAGTTGATGAGAAAAATGGATGGAGCCAAATACAGGGCAATCTTAGAAGAAAACCTGTTAGATTCTGCAGAAGACTTTAGACCGGGGCGGAGATTCCCCTTCCAGCAGGACAACGACCCGAAAAACATCCAGCCAGAGCTACAATGGAATGGTTTCAGATCAAAGCATATTCATGTGTTAGAATGGCCCAGTCACAGTCCAGACCTAAATCTAATGGAGAATCTGTGGCCAGACTTGACAATTGCTGTTCCCAGATGCTCTCCATCCAATCTGACAGAGCTTGAGTGATTGTGCAAAGAAGAATGGGCAGAAATGTCCCTCTCCTAGAAGTGCAAAGAGACATCCCCAAAAACACTTGCAGCTGGAATTGCAGTGAGTTCTAGGTGGGTAGGGTAGGTTTGACATGCTCACTCCTTTATCTTTGGGAACTGCAACTGAAAGATCTTCCTGACAGAATTCTGAGTCCAGCATCACATTACAGAATCTCACTCCTCTTGCTGAATTCTCCATACGGCCTGGTTCACTCCAATGCATTGTACTTTTTGTCCGTTTTCATGTGACTTTTTCTTCATTTTTATCAGTTTTCGTCCTGCCTCTGTGCTTCCTGGGCCCCTTTCTTTCGCTGCCATTTTGAAATATGTACTTTATATTGTGCATGTGAAAGGTGAAGTGCATGATGCAATGCGCCATCTCACCCATGGGCCAGACAACACTACATGTATCTGTTGAATTAAAAAAAAAAAAAAAAACATTCCGAGATCTCAGGGAGAAATTTTTTTTTTTGTTGCTGCTAGGTTTTTTTTTTTTAGTTTTTTTTTGCCTTTTTCTGGATCAACTGTGGGTATTGGGATTATAACTTTTTTTTTTTTAATGTTTGAACTGGATGGACTTTTGTCTTTTTCCAGCCAGACTAACTATGCAACTCTGCAAAAAATGTAATTTTAGTATAAAACTTAGTATGACATCATGCGCTTCATTTCTCGCATATGCAGTTAGGCAATACGGCAAGATCCCACCTGGCAGTACTAGGGTCACTGGTTTTCGAATCCCAACACACGGCACCAACTGCCTGGAGTTTGCATGTTCTTCCTGTGCCTATGTGAGTTTTCCTGGGTACTTTGGTTTCCTCCCACACTCCAAAGACATGCTTGTAGGTTAATTGGCTCCTGTCTAAATTGGCCCTAGTATGTGTATGTATGAATGTGAGTTAGGGGACCTTAGATTGTACGCCCCTTGAGGGTTAGGGACCCTAGATTGTACGCCCCTTGAGGGTTAGGGACCTTAGATTGTACGCCCCTTGGGTTAGGGACCTTAGATTGTACGCCCCTTGAGGGTTAGGGACCTTAGATTGTACGCCCCTTGAGGGTTAGGGACCTTAGATTGTACGCCCCTTGAGGGTTAGGGACCTTAGATTGTACGCCCCTTGAGGGTTAGGGACCTTAGATTGTACCCTCCTTGAGGGTTAGTGACCTTAGATTGTACACCGATTTGAGGGTTAGGGACCTTAGATTGTACACCCCTTAAGGGTTAGGGACTTTAGATTGTATGGTCTTTTAGGGGGACCTTAGATTGTAACCCCCCTTGAGGGTTAGGGACCTTAGATTGTACCCCCCTTAGGGAAATTAGGGACCTTACATTGTATGCCCCTTGAGGGTTAGGGGACCTTAGATTGTACACCCCTTGAGGGTTAGGGACCTTGGATAGTACGCCCCTTGAGGGTTAGAGACCTTGGATTGTATTGTTACGCCCCTTGATTGGTTAGGGACCTTAGATTGTACGCCCCTTGAGGGTTACAGACCTTAGATTGTACGCCCCTTGAGGGTTTTAGATTGTATGCCCCTTGAGGGTTAGGGACCTTAGATTGTACCCCCTTGAGAGTTAGGGACCTTAGATTGTACGCCCCTTGAGGGTTAGGGACCTTAGATTGTACGCCCCTTGAGGGTTACGGACCTTAGATTGTACGCCCCTTGAGGGTTAGGACCTTAGATTGTAAGCCCCTTGAGGGTTACGGACCTTAGATTGTACGCCCCTTGAGGGTTACGGACCTTAGATTGTACGCCCCTTGAGGGTTACGGACCTTAGATTGTACGCCCCTTGAGGGTTAGGTACCTTAGATTGTAAGCCCCTTGAGGGTTACGGACCTTAGATTGTACGCCCCTTGAAAGTTAGGGACCTTAGATTGTACGCCCCTTGAGGGTTAGGGACCCAAAATATACACCCCTTGAGGGTTAGAGACTGATGTGAATGTACTATATATATGTAAAGTGCTGCATAAAATGACGGCGCTATATAAGTACCTGAAATAAATAAATAAAATAAATAAATCTCACAGTTTAGGTATGAGATTTCCCAAGGCAATGGTGATCTTGCCTTCTCAGATGGACATCCATAGACTGAGTCTATGCCTCACCGCCTCCGGGAACCAAAAAGTGTAAGTAAAGCAAAAAGAAAAAAATTTTTTTGGATAGGAGTTTTAGGCGATTTCACATCAGCATGCAGAACTCCATGCTGACTAACATCAAAACACATCAGCAAGGAGCCACATCTGGTGGGGGTTTTTAATACGGTTATTTGAAAATGGATAACAAAACCCCACAGTGTGTAGCCTTGATGTTCGTTTCAGTCTCGTTCTGCTTTCTAGAGTGCTCATGCATGGTGTCATGCTCCCAAGAGACCCATACCTTTTCATGGAGGCGCTCCCTGAGAGCGGCCAGGTGTGCGTCACGGATCTCCTTGCTGAGCTCCATCTTGTAGTTGAGTTTTTCCTCAGCCATTCGGCTGAAATTGTTGTTGTCTTCTATTGCCCGGTGCAAGACGTCTCGCTCGTGCTCCCGCTTCTCGGCAAGCTGTTTTCAGCACCTGAGCTTCCTGGGACTGATGGAAAAAATCACAAGTTCGGAATTATTAAGAGTTTATGTGACACCAATTGGTTCCCGTTTGGTGCCTACTATCCATTGGAGAGCTTAGTTCTACAGGCTTTGTACGGCTGAAAACTTAATTTTAAGTAAAAGTAACAAGTTCACTGTCATGGTGGCCCCATCAGCACCATACCTCATTTTGATTCCCCCAGCTGGTTTGTTCAGCCATTGGTAGCTGAGCACAAAGTTGGGCTCTAATGTGTTTCCAAGGCTGTCAGAGGCAACAGCGCAAATGGGCATAAAATGAGGTCCATGTTTCTTCAAAAAAAAAGTTCACATTAGAATTCCTACCTAACCCCGTAATCTTCTACGATATCAACCCCACCCCCCCCCCCCCCCCCCCCCCAACTTCCAGTTCCCATGTGCCTCCTTGCCTCTTTTAGTGGCAACCTATACAGGTCTGTAGGAAGTCACTGTGCAAGGAAAGAAAGCAAGATTTCTGCATGGAGGCAAGAAATGCATGGAGGCTGTTGAAGATGAAAAGTGGTAAGCATGCACCTAGGTGAGGGATGGGGTTTAGCCAGGACACGAGGGAGGCAATAATGGCTGTCACTCCAGCTGCAGTGGCCTTACATAGGGGTTGGGGGGGGGGGGTATGTAGCTGTCAGGAAAGTCATGCTCAAGCCCCAAACCCTATGTGAGGCCAGTTACAGTGTCTTCACATAGGGTTTTGGGGTGGGGTGCGTAGCTGTCAGGAAAGTCATACTCAAGCCTGTACCCAAAGGAATGGCCATTATCAAGGTAATGCCCATGTTCAAAGGTTTACCCTTGCTTACACGAATGCACATGCATGCAGAACAGTCCATAGAATTGTGCACAGCATTATGACCCTGCGTGCATCTACACGTGAGCATTAACAGTCTACGCGTGCTCATGTGCGTGAACATGATTGTTTGATAGACCTTGGGAATGCCCATGTGCAATGGTTTGCCCTTGCTTACAGGAATGCGCATGCTTGCAGAACAGTCCGTAGAATTGTGCACAGTATTATGACCGTGCGTGCATCTACACAAGCACGTGCGCATACACGTGAGCATTAACAGTCTGTGTGCTCATGTGTGTGAACATGATTGTTTGATAGACCTTGGCGCCCAGTGGCCTATTTAAAGCCTTACAGTACTCAGGTTGATTGCTGAGTCGTTGTCAGAGCCTTCTGCTTGTGTTCACCTGTATCTGGACCCGACTTGTTGATCCTGCTTGTTCCTGAACCTGTGTTGCTGGCTTGTGACCTGACTTTGTTTTCTACTTGCTGTTCCAGTACTTCTTCTGCTCGCACACATTTGTTTGCGATGTGCATTGCCCTTCCATGTGCACCTTACTGGTAAGGCTGGTCATGGGTTGGGACAGTTGCCATTTTTTGTGTAGTTGGCTAATTTGGACGCAGGGACGCACTGGATGCCTTTGCTGTCATTTTGGTATAGCTGGGCGTCACATGCGTCCCTGTACCTTTAAGGAGGGATGGGCTCCTTCAGGCATACCTGCCCTTAACCTATCCATTGATACATGTGTTCCTACTATGGAGGATTTGGAATTTTAGTTAGGGTCACAGTATACAGAGGACCCTTGACGCGGACTGTGGCTTACACATGTATTTGCAAATGTGTGCAAACAAAACCCAAACTGTTGCAGGGCCAAATGGTGTTTTTGCAGGCTGGCTGGTAAGTGTTGCTGGGAAATCTTTTGTATGTTTGTGATGTGCATTGCCTTTCCATGTGCACCTTACTGCTAAGGCTGGTTATAGGTTGGGACGGTTGCCATTTTTTGTATAGTTGACGCTGATCTTGGCCTGGCTCTGACTCTGCTCTCGTGCTGACCGGTCAATGCCAACCTCTGGCCATCTGAGATCCAGTATCTGCCTGCTGCCAGCTGGTCTGCTTCAGCTCTGCATCTGCTACAGAGATTTTCCAGACCAGATCTCCTACAGACGCCTGTGCCACTCTGTGCCCTGTTATAATCTGTTGTCATCCCCGGGGAAAACAGGACAAGAGTTGTAAGAGCCTCTTGTCAACTCCACCTCGACCAGGTACTTGACAGTAGTGATGCACATTGAGGATGCATGCTTCACAATGGTTATGTAGGACAACCAGTGGGCCTACCCTGCTTCAGCTTTCTGTATGCTCTGACAGCTACTGCTGTTACACCATACTCCAACACACCCCTTGCCTCAATCACCTAGAGCAGGGGTGTCAAACTGGCAGCCCTCCAGCTGTTGCCAAACTACAAGTCCCATGAGGCATTGCAAGATTGACAGTTACAAGAATGACTCCCAAAGGCAGAGGGATGATGGGACTTGTAGTTTCACAACAGCTGGAGGGCCGCCAGTTTGACATCCTTGACCTAGAGCCAACAGGAAAAATAGACCGGACATGCACAGCCACCCACCTCCAGCTACTGGAATACCAGTGAAAGGCCATGCATGCACACCCTCCATTCAAAATATGAGTTGCATGCATGCTTTTTTTCCTACATTAAAACTCTCTGCTGTGTCTAATCTTCCAAATAATGAAAAAAGACAACAGTAATTCTAAATTAAATGCATTTTCCACCTAATGGATATGACTGACTCTTCCCTGTTAGGATCACAAAGCATTGGCAGCTCACCTTCCTCCTCTCCTCGGCAGCCTCCAGCCTCCTCTGCAGTTCCTCCAGAGAGATGTCCTTCTTCCGGGGAGAGGTGGCCAGAGGAGGACTGTCCGGGGACAAGTCTGAAGGAGACTTCAGGATCACCTCGAAGCTCTGCCCTGACGCCCTCTTATTCAGCTGCTTTACCTCCATGTCTGTGAGCGGAAAGATTCAGAAATCTCAGTTACAATGACATATCAGGCATCACTAGTATAGCAGGTAGTCACGTTCATCTGGACCTTGTTGTTTAAGGGCCCATGCATACGGCAGCCAGGAAGCCATACAGTGTCTGGGGTTGCACGTCTCTACCAGGGGTGGTCTGACAACTCATGGGGCCCCTGGGCAATAGGGATCATGGGGCCCCTGTGTCCTTGCCCAAACTTAAAAAAGCCTATAAAAAAGGTACCAGGGGCATCTCATGGGGCCCCCTACTGACCCCGGGCCCTGTGGCGGTGCCCGAGTTTCCAAATGGTCATTCCGCCCCTGGTCTCTATGTACAATTGTGCAAATACTGGTGTATACCTCCGTACAACCATGGCCTGTAATCTAAGAACGGCTGTACACAGCAGCAGCTGTGGCTCCCTGGGAACATTTTTTGCAGGTTCTGTATGCGCTTGCATGCTGTACGACCATGTGCATGAACCCTAACCCTAGGTTCATATATATAAGCATGTGCAGAAATGCGTGTAAATTGCACGCGTTCCCGCACTTGCATGCAACTGCACACAAAATATGGTGCACAGAAAATGCATGGGGTTGCCGTTAAAGTGGTTGTAAACATCAAACATGAAATAGGAACAAAGCATAACACTCTATAGTGTGTGCTTGTCTCAGTTAAGAGCACTAAGTGTCATTTCTGTCTGCTGCTTTGTTCCTCTGCTATCAGAATGAGTCACTTCTGACACCAAGAGAAAAATGGTGACGGGAGGGAGCTCCAGCAGATTGACAGTCTCAGCTCTGTTCTTGTGAGTTGTGTGAAAGGGAGGGGGGGGGGCTGTCCTTTCCTTTCAATCAGTTCTCAGAGCTCTCTTCAATGAGATCTGCAGAGTGTAATTTCAGCTCTCCGCCTCCATTTTTATGACAGCCCAGGCAAGCTTTTTCAATTCTGAACGGATGTAGAGAAGAGAAGACTGCAGATAAATAGGTACAACTTTTGTAGGAGGATTTGTTTTGTCTTTGTGCATCTGAGGCACTTCAATGGGTATAAATATAAGGATTTACAATCCTTTAACTCTTAATGGCACCCCCACACACTGAAAAATGCGGTGTGGTTTTTCATACAAGGAAATCAAATGGTGCAAAAACACACTGATTTCCATGTGGATTTGTTTTAAAAAGGTGCAGGGGGACCCTTTCCCTGCAGAAAACGCAGACACTGCAGCCTATTCAAATGAATGTGCTTCCGTGCCTGTGCACTCATTGCACACACAGCCGCATAGATGTGAAGTCGGCCTAAAGGGTACGTGAACCCTAATAATGACCTTCTCTTCATTGCATATTTTTTTTTAGTCTGTTAGACCATTGAATGATATAGGGGTCTCCAAACTATGGCCCGCCAGCTGTTGAAGTACTACAAGTCCCATCATGCCTCTACCTCTGGGTGTCTTGCCTGTGGGTGTCAGAGTCTTGCAAGGCCTCATGGGACTTGCAGTTCCTCAACACCTGGAGGACCGTAGTTTGGAGACCCCAAGAGGGTTTTGTATAATCTGTTTGACAAGTTCCCAAAAAAATACCTGTAAATCCTGCCAGAAATATTGTCAGCTGATAACTCCCCGTGCTTTCTGTTATCAATGACATTGTTCCTAGCTATCTCTGATGACTACAGAACCACACCCCTCTATATTATGAAGAATAGGAGTGGGTGGGTTTCTGTAGTCCTGTCTTCTTTCTGTTGTCATACAGTACAGTGAGTGAAAGACATTGTCTAAAAACACTCAGCACCAGGGGCGGACTGACCATTTGGAAACTCGGGCACTGCCCGAGGGCCCGGGGGTCAGTAGGGGGCCCCATGAGATGCCCCTGGTACCTTTTTCATAGGCTTTTTTGAGTTTGGGCAAGGAGGGCCCGGGGTCAGTAGGGGGCCCCATGAGATGCCCCTGGTACCTTTTTCATAGGCTTTTTTCATTTTGGGCAAGTACACAGGGGCCCCATGATCCCCTATTGCCCAGGGGCCCCACGAGTTGTCAGTCCGCCCTGCTCAGTGCACTAGAGGCTCATATCCTGTAAATAAAATACACAATAAAAAGTCCATGAATGTCCATATCTATATAACCGCTTAGGTGGCAGCCATCCCAGAGTATGCCAACTCTACAGAGAGTGGGAAGCAAGAGAGAGGCGCCTTCTAAGTGCAGTAAATACAGTTTAATGACCCACAATTAAAAAAAAAATGTAAATGGTGAAAAGGTTGAAAAGCCCATCAACTATGGATAATCTCCAGGTATACCAACGTCATCCCCGTCCTGCAGAAGTCCATCCAACTGCCATGAGACCGCCGTGGGTGGTAGGAGAGTCTCAGGACGCCAGGAGTGTCTGTGACCAGCCTGTAGAGGGAGCAGTAAGCTCCGAGCGCATAGGTTTACCTCTTCCTTAGTGTGCCGCTCCCTCCCCTTTGTCACATCCGCTGGTCCACACTGGTCACGGACACTTCGGTGGCATCCTTGGACCCTCCTACCACCCACGGCTGTCCCATAGCCACACTTAGAAGGCGCCTCTCTCTTTCTTCCCACTTATGAGAGATATTGTCACCTTAGGACAGGGAGAGTGTTACTGGAAGAATCACCATGTGAAATTAAAAGGAAAAGAAACTAATGCAGCCCCCCCCCCACACACATCTAAAGGCTTGTAAGTTGCCATACATTACATGTTTGCTTTTAGGTTTAGATACATTTTAATTGCAATCTTTTTATTAATTTTTTTTTTGACCGAAAAAAAAAAAAAGCATTATGAAAAAGTTTCTGAAATATCTGGTATCATTTTTAGATACATTTTAATGTTGCCAATGTTCTGCTGGATGACCAGCAGCTTTTCCACCTCTCAGACTGGGAAACATACCCCAGCATCTATAGTCACGCTGGCAAAATGGTTACTTTGGGTTTGGGTTCCGGGCTGCTAGTGCTCCCGCAGCAGTAGTCAAAACAGCAGCATTTTATTTATTTTTTGTTAACCTGTTACCGCCGGTCAGGGGCGTCCCTAGGGTTGGTGTCACCCGGTGCGATAACACTTGGTGACACCCTCCGACAATCCCCGCAGAATGGATCGGATCTGCAGATTGAGCATAATGGATTGGAGTCCGATGCATTATGCTCCCAATCCGCAGATCCGATCCATTCTGTGGGGATGGTCAGCATGCAACCTATACGGGGTGACACTGGACCCGCTCCACGAACAGGTAAGTTGTAAAGCAAGCCGTCGATCCCCGCAGGATGGATGGGATCTGTGGATTGGGGAGCATAATCGATCGGAAACCGATCCATTATGCTCAATCCACAGATCCCATCATCCTGCGGGGATCGTCAGCTTGCTTTACAACTTACCTGTTCGTGAAGCGGGTTCGGTGTCACCCCGTGCAGTAGGTGTCACCCGGTGCGGTGCGCACCCCCTGCACCTGCCTAGGGATGCCATTGCCACTGGTCATACACATATATGCGGCCAGTGGGGGGGTCTGCTTTAATGTTGAGTGGCCGCATATACGCATCCATGGGGGATGTACGATCCCAGCACATTCATTAAGATGTCACATGAACAGGGGCGGACTGACAACTCATGGGGCCCCCCGGGCAATAGGGGATCATGGGGCCCCTGTAGCCATGCCCACACTCAAACCACACCCAAAAAAGCCTATGAAAGATACCAGGGGCATCTCATGGGGCCCCCTACTGACCCCGGGCCCTCGGGCAATGCCAGAATGGTCAGTCCGCCCCTGCACATGAAGCTCCTGATGCATACTTGGAGCAAGAGCTTACAATCACATGACTTCTCTGACAGCCAATCACAGTGATCACATGATCAGAATGCCTGCCTCTGCCACTTGGCATTTAGATTCTCTCAAAGAGCCAGGGGGTGGCAACAGCAAGGGGTTAAAGAATTCAATGTATGCATGTGGAGAGAGACAGAGGGGATGGGGGTAGGGACATTCTGTAGTCCAGCAGGCAGAGCTGACAACACTGCCTAAGGCTCCGTTCACCCCTATGCAGTTTGCTTTTTGTCCCTTTTGCTGTGCTTTTTGCAGTTCGTTTTGCGTTTTTTTTTACACACGTTTTTTGATGTTTTTACTGCATTTTTTCAGCCCTTTTTTTTTGTAAGTGGAATTTTTCTTTTTTTGCTGGGCAGAATAAAAATGCATAATGCGGCAAAAACACACTACCATGCATTTCAGCAGATTCTCCATTGAACTCTATTGTAGCAAAAACGCTGCTTTTTGCTTTTAAAAAAGTCCCCGATCCTTTCCAAAAACGCAGCAGCTCAAAAAAGCATCAATGTGAAAAAGCAGCGGCACTGTGTTGTCAGCCCAAAAGTAAAGTTAGAAGCTCACTGGATTTCTGCCAGATTGATCAGTATTATTCTGCATTTTCGGCATTTGGAAAGTGATAATTGTATTTTTTACTATGGTTGTGCCCTTTTCAGGGTGTTTTACATGAACAAATGTGTTCTGTGTGTGTGAGACGTTACTGACCTTCATACTGGTAGATTGTGTTGGGATGGGGCTGGGAGTAGAAGCAAGAGCAGATCAGAGACAGCATAGAAAGTTCCTTCATCTTCTCTTTGTAGGCTGCAAAAGAAGAAAAAAAAAATGAGTAAAGTGAAAAAAATGTTACAGCTTAGTAAATCATGTCTGCAAGATCAGATCAGCTCAGGCAGGGGAGAATACCTGCAAGTGAAAGTGAAACCACAGCAGAAAAAGATCAGGTCCCCTTCCTCTGCCAGGCCAGACTGTACCGTCTGGAAAATGTAAAAACCTCATGAATTAATGGAAAGAAATGCAATTTCTTTGGCAGGCAAAATAGCTCCCAAGTCCAGACTCCATGCTCCAGATATGCTTCTGTATGTGACTCAATCACTTACAGTTGTGACCAAAATTATTCAACCCCCAATGCTGTAAGGGGTTTAGGGACTATAGTGTACATTTGGAATTGTATTCAGAATCAAATCCTACAAGGACGTTGTAACTACCCAAATGCAACTAAAATGACATCAATTGTTTATGTAATACAGTAGTAAATGGTTCTTATGTGGTTTCTTCTTGCCACTTATTCAACCCCTTGAAGACTACCACTCTGAAGAACACAAGGTTCATACAGGTGCTTTCCATCAGGTCTGTGAAAACACCTGTGGATGTCACCGAGCAGCAATCAAGCATAATAAGCACCAATTAGGCAGCTTTAAAATGACTGTGATACTCAGCTCCTTATTCAGACATTTACTGGTGTGGTTACACATCATGGTGAAGGCAGAGAATGGTCCAGGAAGACAAGAGAAGAGGTGATTTCTCTTCACAGAAGGGCAATGGCTATAAGAAGATTGCAAAGATGTTAAACCCCAAGAGACACCTTTTAGGAAGCATCATTCGCAAATTCAAGGCAAAGGGCACTGTTGAAACGCAACCTATGGTCGTGGCAGAAATCAAAATGCTGACTTTCGACTGCTGTGCGCTACCTGAAGCGTAGAGTGGAGAGAAGTCCCCTGTGACTGCTGAGGAACTGAGAAAAGATTTGTCAGATGTGGGTACAGAAGTTTCAGCCCCAGACAATAAGACGCACCTGCGTAATGAAGGCCTCCGTGCCAGAACTCCCAGGCGTCCCCCTTGCTGTCTCCAAAGAATAAGAAGAGTCGACTGCAGTATGCCAAAGCCATGTGGACAAACCACAAAAGTTGTGGGATAGTGTTCTGTGGACTGATGCCCAAAATTTCAACTGTTTGGGCCCATGGATCAACGCTATGTTTGGAGGAGGAAGAACAATGTCCCTATGATGAAAAGAACACCTTGCCTACTGTGAAGCATGGTGGAGGGTCAATCATGCTTTGGGGTGTTTTGCTTCTGCAGGTACAGGGAAGCTTCAGCGTGTGCAAGGTACTCATAATTCTCTTCAGTACCAGGAGATATTGGATGGAAACGTGATGCAGTCCGTCACACACCTGAGCTTGGGAGACGTTGACCTTTCAACAGGGACAATGATCCCAAGCATACCTCCAAGTCCCCTAGAGCATGGTTGCAGAGGAAAGGCTGGAACATTTTGGAGTGGCCATCGAAAGTCACCAGACTTAAATCCGATTGAACCTCTGGTGGGACTTAAAGAAAGCAGTTGCAGTGCGCAAGCCTAAGAATGTGACTGAACTGGAGGCCTTTGCCCATGAAGAATGGGCGAAGATACCCGTAGATCGCTGCAAAGACACTTGTGTCAAGCTATGCTTCACGTTTAAAAGCTGTTATAACTGTAAAAGGATGCTGTACTAAGTACTAAGATTGAATGTCACTTGGGGGTTGAATAAAACCGATGATAATGCTGTGAGCACAGAAAAGACATTTGTGGTTATTTCATTATAACTGTTATGTTATATTTGTCTGACCTACAAGTGCCTCTTTAATGTAAATGTAAGCAAGATGACTGAATGATCAAAAGCAATGTCAAACTGGCCAAAACACTCAACTGTTTCAGTGGGGGTTGAATAATTTTGGTCACAACTGTATGTCCCATAAGCAATGTTAAGTGTGCCCCCTGAGCAGCCAATAAACTGGGCAGTGTCCCAATGGATGGTGTAGTCTGGGCAGGACCAGATCTAGCCTGGGGGAGCAGTAAAGAATAGCCAAGAGGCACAATGTCAACACCCCTGTGTGCGAGTCACTGACAGTCTGTCATACAGTGTCAGGACCTGGGGAACACTAGAGGCTGTCATTAGATTAGGGTGAATAAACAGAATGTGTGCCCCCTTATATCAGGTGTCCCTAACAGAGTCCTCCTTTACATCAGGGGTCCTCATCAGAGTCCCTCGTTACAGCAGGGTCCCCATCAGAGTGCCCCCTTACATCAGGGTCTCCATCAGAATGTCTCCTTTCATCAGGAGTCCCTCGTTACTTCAACTATTCTTATCGAAATGCCTCTTAAAACCAATATCCCATCAGAGTGCCCCCTTACATCAGAGTCCCCATCAGAGTGCCCCTTACATCAGGGTCCCCATCAGAGTGCCTCCTTTCATCAGGGTCCCCATCAATCATGTTACCCCATCAGAGTGCCCCCCCCTTACATCAACTGTCCGCATTGAAATGCCTCTTAAAACTGAGTGTACCATCAGAGTGCCCCCTTGCATCCAGTGTCCCCATCAGGTGTCCTCACCAAGTCCCCCCTTACATTAACTTTTCTCATCAGAGTGCCCCCTTACATGTTATCAGTTACCTCATCAGAGTGCGCCCTTTCATTATGTGTCCCCATCAGAGTGCCGTTACATCAGGTATCCAAATCAGAGTGCCCCTTTACTTCAGGTGTCCCCAATCACAGTTATCCCTTACATGGATTATCCCAATCAGAGTGCCCCCTTACATCAAGCAAATCCCATACAGTGACTCCTTACATAGATTGTCCCAATCAGCCTGCCCCTTACATTAACTGTCTGCATCAGCATCCTCCCTTACATCAATTGACGCCATAAGGCTGACTCATGGATGAGGGGATGTCCTCTCAGAGACTTGGGGGGGGGGGGGGTCTCAGCTAAAATCTGAGGGGGCACAGCCCACCCAAGCACCCCCTAGATCGGGGCTCTGAGTCTGAGGGGAATGACCGCATTCCTGTGTTGAACTAGAATAGTTGACTTTTACTGGTTGCATGCTTTTTTCAGATCTGCGACTCAAAAGTACTGAAGTAAGACACATCCAAGTCAGTATGGTCATCATCAATGGACGTTTTAGCATTTCTTTCATGACAGGTGCACTTTAAGGCAATAATAATATGCTTGTAGTAGACCTGAAAGGAGTATTGCTACAAAGGCAAGAAGAACAGAGGGAGTTGGTCCAAAAGGCTACATCATCATATCTGTAAACATCTGTACGCGTTGGGAATGCATGGAAAATGCTTTCCCGAGACGCAGAGGCATATGCCGCCCAGCCGTGGCATTATTTGTTAATGGCGCCCCTTGATTCTGCAAACGCACATTTTCCTGCGCACCAAAGCGCAATGGTGCCATAGCGGTGCATTTTTGGAATAAGAGGAACTTCTCTTCTGTTTTTTCACACCCGTTGAAATGAATGGGCTGCCCTACACACGATGCCCAGGAACTAAGCCTTACAGGCTCCCTGAAACTTTGTGACAATGGCAAGATATGTGTGAGATGTAGCCTCTCATTTCTACATGAGGAAGATGGCACCTGATGCCAACATGAAGACATCATCCTCTTGATCCCAGACAGTTGCTGATCCCTAGACAAAGCCTATGATTCTCAGGAACTCAGACGTGTCACCAAGGACTCCGAGCTATTCCCAATCCTCAATCCTAATAAACTGGTACAAGTACAACCTTCCATCCTCCAGAGGCCCGAAGCCTGACGCCAGCCTTCAACCCTAATTACTCCACGCCAGACACGACGGGCAGCTGGCTACAGATGTGTGCTTTGGGTGCAAAGCAGGAAGCCAATGTCAGTGGGAAAAGGCATTTCTGCAAGACCTCCACTGACATGGGAAATTCTGGAAACCAGGATATCAATTTAAAACGAAAAGCAATTTGAATCACAATTATAACCAGCTAGCACTTTTACTCATCCTATTTGCAATAAAAAAAAAGTGCTTATTTGCAGTCCAAGATCTTCAAAGTGTTCCAAAGCCTCTTCCTTCTACTGTGTCATGCTGACTGTTAGAATGGGCAAAGCTCTTATTATATCACTCATTGAACTTGTCTATACCAATTGAACTTGCCTATACCAATGGTTAAATACTTGTTTAGTTCTTGGGGACTGGGAAAAGCACTTTTACTTATCCAATCCTCTGCTTCCACAGCCTCCCTCCACAGTGTTGGTACCCTGACATCATCAAGTACGATGCCCCTGCATCCATACCCCTGCATTGGACATAAGGCGCTGGGGGGAGAGTCCCCTACTGGAGCATCGTCAAGCAGAGACTGCAAGGGTTAGGGAAATAAAAAGTGTTTTTCCTGGTCCCCTAGAAGCCTGGACCTAAGCAGACAGTGTGGGAGCTACCCAAGTGTAATTTACTGTTTCACCCTCCAACCCCTGATATATTGAGAACTCTTTTTCCTGAACTTGCCCTTTAAAGAACACACCGGCACACTGTCACTGCTGACCTCCTTCTAAAAAAAATCTAGTTGTTTAGCTGCTGTTCTGGCCCTTTTGTTTCAATTTTTTCCAGTATGATTACAAACACGGGTCTTGTTAACAGATGGTTCGGCAGCCTGTGCTTGCAATCACACTGGAAAAAAATAACAGTAAAGGTCCAGTTCACTTCTCGTCTATTCACATTGTTGTCCATCAAGTCCTCATGAAAGAGGATACTCTTGAACCCCCAAAACATGTTGACTACCTTTTGGATTGTCCTCCTGACTTTCATTGGAATAGAGTTGCATCTGGACCTCACAGCAGTGATGTGGCCCTTCAGTTTCCATTTTTCTTACATTACACTACAAGCCAAGGAGACCATGCAGATCCTCTGGGGTGTAGAAGTTGCCTGCCAGATCATTTACATCAACATTGATACTTTAAGATAGCAATACCTGGGAGATAACCCTACAGGTCCAGCACTACCTTTCCACTTTACTCAACTATTCTGTCATGTGA